GCCCTACTGACCTCACAGATCAGAGAATCTCATCAGAACAACATCCCAGACCATAAATAAATCAGAGAAGCATCTTCTTGTTCTTTTAGCTTAAATCTTATAAATTCATACCCACTGCTAATATCGTATTCCTTTTCATCAATTCACCAGCTATGCATTAAGTGCTTATTATGTGCCTGGCACCATCCTAACTAAAGCAGTGAACAGAGGCAGGGGAAATGGGAAGGAGGCTGCAATCACAAATCAGAAAAGAGAGGATGGTGGTGAGGACCCAAGTGGTTGCAGTGGAGGGGAGGGGTTGGAAACTGGTTGAATCAGATTATGCCATAAAAATCTTTCTAAAGTCGAAATAATATACAGGCATATGCTAGTGTGGAGGCACAATGATTACTCATTCAATAGGGTTTTTAAGATCAGTGAAAGATCCTGGTCAAGGACAATCAAAACAATATTAAGAGCATCTTTTATCCATAACAATATGACTGATGAGAACTTTCTCTCCTCTTCAATCTTATTGATAAAAGATGCTGTTAATATTGTTTTAATGAAGCCCTAAGTCCTATGGATAAAAGATGCTCTTAATATTGTCCTAATAAAGCCCTAAGTCCTATGAATGGAGATTTAAAATAATATATTACTGTTTATAGTTCAAAAATCAATTAAAATTAAACTTGATCGGGTTGATCATTGTGCTTATTGCCTGCTTTGACAATGAGATTCCTTTTTTTTAATTCAAGTTCATAAACTATTTTGAAATGCATGACAATTTTTTCCAGAATGCAGAACTGCTTAAAGGTCATAAGTATTACTCCAAAGAGTTACTGAGGGTCCAGCAGAAAAGAAAGAGGAAATAGTTTCCCAGTTATTGATGCTATAGGCATATGGTTGTCTATTGGTCAGAGGGGGAGAAGGGTGGTGTTTAAGTTGTGATTCATTATAGAATTTTAAAAAGCTCTGTACTACTGACCAAATTGCATAACAAGGAGAAGGGCCTGGAGCAGAAACCTAGTAGTCCAGAAGACCAGTTTTATAAACACTTTTCTGAAGGTGAATAAGAAACATGTGGCCTTTCACTACCAAGACCTGGCTAACGAAAATGATGTTGGCTCCATGAGGACTGGCTTTGCCATCTTGCTTATTACTGTATGCCTGGCACAGTGCCTGGCATACAGCACATCCTCAGTAAACATTAACTAAAGCAATACATGGCTGAATCTTCTTTGACATCATTCTATCACTTTATGGAATAAATATTACAAATGAAAAACAATGCATAGTGATTTTATAATAGGTATCAGCCAGACCTGAATTCACCCCTCACTTTGTCATTACATGGGCTATAGAGCCTGGTCAGTTTCTCTTAGCCTTTATATTTCAGTTTATTTATATGTAACATCAAGGTAATAATAACAACCTCCTGGGCTTGTTCTGAGGATTATCTAAGATAATGCATGGAAAGAAATTAACCCAGGGCTTCATAATTATTAGCTTACCATTGACACTAAAATGGCATTAAAAGTACCAAAAGCAGCTTTATAAAATGGCATTTTTATAAACTTCTAAATATTTTTTCTTTTGTTATGAAAATTTTCAAAGATAATATTATCCTATATAATAAAGAGGTAATATGCAAATTGACTGTCTCTCCAACACACAAGATGGCTGCCACAAGATGGCTGGCAGGGGAGGGAAGTTGTGGGCGATAAAGCCATCAGAGAAGGGCAGTTGTGAGCAATCAGGCCTGCAGGGGAGAGTAGTTGGGAGGGACCAGGCCTGAAGGGGAGGGCAGTTAGGTTTGATGTGGCCAGTAGAGGAGGGTAGTTGGGCGTGACCAGGCCTTCAGGGGAAAGCAGTTAGGGGCAACCAGGCTGGTAGGGTATGGCAGTTAGGGATGACTGGGCCAGCAGGGTAGGGCAGTTGGGGGGGACCAGGCCAGTAGGAGAGGGCAGTTAGGGAGAACCAGGCCTAAGGGGAGGGCAGTTGGGGCGACCAGGCCAGTAGGGGAGGGCAGTTAGGGACAATTGGGCTGGCAGGGCATCAGTTAGGCGGGGATCAGGCTGGCAGGCAAAAGTGGTTAGGGGCAATCAGGCAGGCAGGTGAGCAGTTGGGAGCTAGCAGTCCTAGATTGTAAGAGGGATCAGGCCTAAACAGGCAGTCAGACATCCCTCTAGGGGCCCAAGATCAAAGAGGGTGCAGGCTGGGCTGAGGGACACACACACACACACACACACACACACACACACACACCCTGCACAATTTCATACACATACATACACAAATACAGTAGAGAGCATAATGAAATTCCATGTACTCAATACCTAGTTTCAAGAGTTATCAGCTCAAAGCCCACTTCTGAAACCCCTTGGATTATTTTGAAGCAAATCCCAGGCATCATTCATGTTACCTGTAATACTTCAATATGCATCTCTAAAAGTAATAACAAAAAGTTATAACCAAAATCCCATATCACACTTAAAAATAATTAATAATGAACCACTAATTAGATGAATTACTGGCCTGCTGGAAGCCACAAGGAGAAAAGAGGAAGAGAATAAAGTCTGTCCAAGGCCAAGGTTTAGGCAAGTTCTCTCCAGACCCAACACAATGGAGGAATTCAATCTCACTGTCAAGGTGAACTCTTCCTACTAAGTTGGGGAGGGGAGAGGGGAAGGGGGTTGGGAAGGGGGAGTGGCAGAGGGGGACAGCTAGGGAATGAGTTTGAAGCCAGCATTTCATGGCTGGACAAAAGAAGAGCAGGGGTCCCTGATTTTCTTTAATGTTTTTACTTCCCAAAGCAAATGTCATTTCACTTGAAATAATTCTGTAAAATTATTCTGCTTCCAAATTGTTAGAGTTTTAGAATTTAATTTTCTCTTTTCATCTACTTTGAGGCATTGTTGTCCGTGTTGGCTTTTAATGCAAGTATGATATCACACAGAGAGCTCACTAAATGCTCACAGAACTGGTTAGGTTTCTGAAATTTAACATAGCACCAAAGTTCACATATTTGAGAGAATCAGGTTTTAGTATAGTCTATGCTTTCTTCCCTTGCCCTCCTAATTTCCCTTTATTTGTTCTACAAAGTCAGTAATCTAGCAGAAACCCCAATTTCATTCTCTGCTGCTCTGCTTTTTAAACTTTGAATTCATATATTTTTCTTTTATTCTTAACTGGAATTTGGAGCAATTTGATTGCTTCAAAACAAGAGATATTGGTGTTGAAGATATTGAACATTTGCCAAAACTGGGTTGGCTCAGTGGATAGAACATCAGCCTGCAGACTGAAAGATCTTAGGTCCGATTCCCGTCAAGGGCACATACCTTGGTTGTGGGCACATCCCAATGGGAGGTGTGCAGGAGGCAGCTGACCGATGTTTCTCTCTCACTGATGTTTCTAACTCTCTACCCCTCCCCCTTCCTCTCTGTAAAAAATTAATAAAATATATTTTAAAAATAGATATTGAACATCAATAGTATAAATCCAGCTCCGCCAGTGTGGCTCAGTAGATTGAGCATCTTCCCACAAACCAAAAGGTCACCAGTTCAATTCCAGGTCAGAGCACATGCCCAGGTTTCAGGCTCTATCCCCAGTAGAGGTGTTTAGGAGGCAGTCAATCGATGTTTCTCACATCGATGTTTCTATCTCTCCCTTTCTCTCTCTAAAAAATATCAATAAAAACATATTTAAAAAAAAATAGTGCAAACTCAGATAATCATCCCTCCTTTAAATACTAACATTTTTTTTGCAAAGTCTAGAGTTCAGAGAATAATGTCAGCAAGTGAGTGAAGAATGATGCTGAGAAGGCTAGAGGACAAGAAGCACCAAGAAGGTGCAAAGGAATGAACTTAATATGTGATGCAAGTTCCCCTGTTGGAGAGCTAAGTTAACTTATAAGTAATAGAAATTTAACTTGGAGGAGAAGGAGATAAGGAATGTAGATTCAAAAGTCTGACAGTTTGGAAGCACTGGAAAACCCGGTGTTGTTACTCTAATCAGTAACAATGTTATCTTTACACTAGAGGCCTGGTGCATGGATTTGTGCATTAGTGGGGTCCAGCCGGCCCCCATCCCCGATCAGGGTTGGGGCGCTGTGATTGTGGCTGGACTGGCTTGGGGAGTGTGGGATGCAGGAGGTCAGTTGACCCTGCCCCTGATCAGGATGGAGGGGACCTATCGGGGCCGACCATGGGAAGGGACCGCAGGTTGTTGAGGGGACTTATCGGAGCCCTGATCTGGCCAGTTGGCTGCTGCAGTGTGCATCATAGCGACTGGTCATTCTGGTCACTTGGCTTTTATGGATGATAGATAGATAGGTAGGTAGATAGATAGATAGATAGATAGATAGATAGATGATAGATAGATACTACAGTGTCTGCTTTCTCTGTTAGAAATTGGCTTTGGAAAAGTAGGGGCTATGGCCTTGCTTCTGAGAACAATGCTTAGCACATAACAGTGCAGTAAATACATGTTAAATTATTGAATGAATGAAAGAATGAATGAATGAATGAGTACTGCTCAGAGGCCTTCTCTGTTACTTACTAAACAAACCATTTTACTAAGAACTTGAAAGAGACTACATAAAAGGAAAAAAGCCAGAATATATTTCCTCTTTTAAGCTTCTTTAAAAAAAAAAAATCTTTGCCTTTTTTTGTGCTTTAATGTACAGTTTTAGAGTCTCTAAAAACATGTGATAAAAAATGTTTGGGTAAAAAAGGTGATATAAAGAACCACGGGCAAGGAGCAGATAATCTAGTTCAATCAAATTTCCAAAAAGATATGTAAAGATCTAACGTAGCTCAAAATGATCTTTCCACATTCATTCTTTTAAAGGCTCATTTGGTTTGACTTACACAGAAATCACTCAAAATCTTTATCGGATTCTGGGAACTGAGGGTGGGAATAGAAAGGAACAGGCATAACTTGAGTGGGGATCAGACTAAGGAGTACACAGCAGGGAGCGCTGCAGGGTGCCAGAAGGTGTGGAGGGTATGAGATGTACCAAGAAGTTTACTCAGAGAACTTCCAAAAAGGGAGAAAAAGGAAAAACAATCAGAGCCCTCACCTGCTTTGAACCACTGCCAAGGCTCTGATAGCTATAACTGCCAAGCACATCACTCAAAATCACACCCACTATGAGCTTCTCTGCCTCCAGGGCTCAAGCTCCCTTAAGATTTCATGAGTTGCTCCATTCACTCACCTGCGAGCACCTTGCACAATTCCTGCCCTACCCTGCCCTCCAGTCTGCCAATCCTCAGGGATTTCTCCCCCCCACCCCCCTTCACAGTTAAGGAAGCCTCAATTCCTACAAAAGTGAGCTTCCACCTCAAAGTGACTTACAGCAAATGTTTTCTTGAAGCAATTCTTTACTTGCATAATTTCCCTAATAAAATGCATTCAAAAGTGAAATTTGGTTTTGCTTCAAGGAACCTCGGTTAAACACAGAGGAGGATGCTCTGCATGAAGATTCTAATTTCCTCTTCTGATCAGAGCAGTGCTCTCATTCAGGGGATCACTGGTTGCCTGACCCGTCACACTCGCAAGCATGATGCCTAAACATTGTTTTCTAGGCTTCCTCATCACTCTCTTCCCAACTGGTGCTGCAGGTAAGCGCTTCATTTCTTTTTAATTGCTCACAGTTTTGTCATCTGCGTGTGCTCAAGGGATTGTTAGACATAGCATTGCTACTTTTCTGGGCTTTGCAAAATTTCCAGCTTCCTTCTGTCTTGAAATAATCAGAACAGACGTGGGGTCAGTTTTTATCTGCAACCTGAATAACTAACTCCACGTGGACTTATTGAGTAGCTACTCTAGTGGGTGCAAAATTCATACAGGACCAACGTACATCCACCTCTGTCTCCTTAGCATTTCTTTTGCCTTCAGAGGACATGACAGCTTAGTGGGTAGAAACAGTCTCCTAAACCAGACTGTCTGAGTCTGGATTTCAGCTCTGCCATTGACTCTTTAGGAAAACTTGGGCAATTGACTTAACGTTCGCGTGCCTCAATGTCTTCATCTGCAGAAATGGAATTGTACATATTATGAGGATTAAATGAATTAATATATGCCAAGTGTTTGGAGCAATGCCGGGCACAGAATAGAGACAGTAAAGAACATGTGCTAATTTGCTCTTAGTATTCACAGAGAACTCTTCTAGAGCAGAGACCATCATCACTTCAACATACCACTGAGCAAGGCCATTGGGACTCCCAGTTAACAGATGGGTACCTCTCAATGTGAGTGACTCAAGTAAGTTTCCAGAAACTGTACAGTTGCCCAGTGATTATATAAAAACAGTTCAAGCCTCTACCTCCCAGAATTGTGTGCAGTTGTGCAGACTGTGCCTTTGGTCCTTGGTAAAGCCAAGGACTAGCTTAGCAAAGCATGGCAGGAATTCAGTGCTACCCAAATGATCCTGGCTCTGCATCTTACCAGGTCTGTAACCTTGAGCAAGATAGGCAACTTTTTTGAGTCTCAGCTTCGCTATTGTAAATATAGTAATAAAAATACCTGCTTTATCTGGTGATTTGGGAATGAAATAAGATATAAAGCTTTGAGCACCGTGCCTGAAACATGTTTCATGTTCATAGACACTCATGCTCAATGAATGTCAGCTGGGAGGAGGAGCAGGAGGAAGGATATCTCTAGCCTGTAGTTTTGTTTTCTCCATTAGCTCTTCTCTCCCGAGGCTCTGTACTTGGTTTTCCGTGGCAACAGGCAGGCTCTGGAGTTTGCTGCTGCACAAGTTCCTTCTGCCCGACAAGGCTTAGTTTTTCAGTCTGAGAGAGGAAGATGACAACAGTCCATTTCTCATAGAAAAGCCGGGCAGAGTAAATGAGTTAATGTAGATAAAAGCCCCTCGGTGTCTGGTACAGAGTGATTTGCTATTATTTTGATGATTGTCTTACAAAAATTAAGAGAAGAAATCTGTAGACAGATAAGGGACACAGAATCATTTATCTTCAGGGAGCAGATCAACTCCAGGCAAGGGCTTCAGGAATTTGTGCCTGTCATCTGCCAAAAACTCAGGGGAGTCTTATGTATTAAATATGAGTGATTATGTACCATCTTAGTGAGCAAAATTAATGGAGGCAATAGACTCTTTCCAAGTACACACCACCATTTGATACACTAAAGGAGGTAAAAAAATAAAAAATAAAAAATAAAAAAAACACTCTCGCCCCCCCATCCCCCGAAATAAGAATATTAACACTATTTGGGTGGTAAAAATAAACAAACATTAGAAAATAAACATCTGGAATGTTCAGAGCTCAGATTATGGGTTTAAGGTTATTTGCTTCCACCTCAATGATACTTGAGCAAAGACTCGAGATATGTGGAGTATTTCAGCAAAAGGGAAGAACCTTCAGTCAGGACCTAGCCCTTTTCAGAAACCTTGAACCTGCTCAGGAGGTGAAGCTTTACCTTTGCCCGTCTTAGGTTTCCTTAACAAAAGGGAAGATTAACAAGAGAAAAACAGCTTATTAATGCATACAGAGCACATCACAAATGAGAAACCTAAACAAAGAGTAACTCAAAATGGTGGGTCAGAATTCTAGCTTATGTAGCATCTTAAGCAAAAAAATACATTTGTAGAGACAGGACAGGACAAATGAAAGCAATTTTAGGCTTCCAAGGGTGGGAAACTATGAAAAAGTAAATATATGAGAGGAAACTAATGGAGTGAGATTTGTTGGCAGATTCTTCTGGTGCCATCTCTGGGTGGGTAAGAGTCAGTCTTTGTAAAAGAAGAATTTATGTACTGGCTTTAATCAGAAAACGGGGGTGAGGGGTGGGGGTGGTGGTCATGCCTGTATTGCTTACTTGCCTTCAGCTTAAAATAAGTTTTTTATGTCAAAAGAGGCATATTTTGGGCAACACATTCTGGTTTTCTTCAGGCTCTAGAATAAAGTATTGTCAAAGGTCTCTTGCCTCCATGGGACTAAGTACAGGTGAGACTGTATCACCCTGTCAAATGACCTGAGGTGGAAAGTACTTTGCCAGGGCAAAATCATCCTTTCCTGCCATGATTGCTGTTGAGAGCCTTCGCAGGGGCACTAGGCCCTTGGCAGGGTCTTGGGCAGTCTCCCTTCATAGCCTGGGACAGCTTTTCTGAGCACTGATGCTTGGGTACTTGAAGCCAGGATGCAGGCAGATCAGTGCAGACATTCAGCAGTGGGAAGCAAAGCCAGCCTACCTGGAATATGGGTAGGTCCTCTGGGAGAGTTGGAAGACACTGAGATAGGACCCAGAGATTGAGCAAAAACCTGAGAAAGGAAGAACTGAGTGCTGGGCTGAGATCCCAGAGTCAAAATTGATCCAAGGCAAATGTTCTATCAGAGCAGCCGTAATATAGGGCTCCTATGAGGTGGGAGAGTAGTCTTGGCATGGGTCTTTCATCTCAGTCATTCCACTCCATGACCATCAGAGGAAGGGACTAAGGACAGTATTTTTCCACTGCTCTTTACTTCCTCTACTGTTTGGGAAGGGGATGGGAGGATATCCCGTAGGTGCTGATAGTCGGAAACACAATTGTCCTGAAACTTCAGCATGCATACAAATCATCACATCGAAGATTCAAAATGTTGATTTCTGGGCTCCACTCCCATCATCTGCACTGACAGCAACTTCTTTAGCGAATCCCAACTCAGGTATCACATTGAAAACTACGTTAACAATGGTGCTCATATTAATGTTCAGTGTTTTCCCTTCTCTATTATTTTAGAAACTCACCCAGCCCCTGAGTCTCTGAAGCCTCAGAGAGTGCATTTTCAGTCCCGGAACTTCTACAACATTTTGCACTGGCAGCCTGAGAGGGCTTCTGGCAGCAGCAGCAGCAGCAGCAGCAGCAGCATCTACTTTGTACAATACAAAATGTAAGTAATTTGAGTTTCCTCCAACTGATAGACCTGGCCACCGGGAGAACATTTTCTAAAATGCAATGGAATGTCAGAATCTGAGCATTTTTTTCCAGTTTCAGAGAGACTGAGAAAAAAAGCAGAGATAAGGGACAGGACTGTCTTCTCTCCCCTGAAGGCCACCTGGTGACACAAAGTGCATGATGTGGTGCAAAATGCTGGGGGCATATGTCATCCTGTGAAAAACTAGCACCGCAACCTTGCAGGCTCAGCCTTTGGCGTCACTGCAGTCTGGCACATAGTGGGCGCTCAAATAACTGTCCAGCGCGTGTTCAAAACAGCTTGCTTTGCACACAGCAGACACGTCAACAAGTTGACACAATCAGTACTGAAAAGGAAGTTGTGGGACACATGGAGGTCAGTGTGTAAAATATATCTTCAATGTAAATGTCATTTTTTTAGAATGTGTTTACTATTCTAGAAAATGCATTTCGAAATTAATGACTCCTGTAAGCATGAACATGAACTGGAACATGCTGCTGCGTGTTCCTCTCATGTGAGCTTCAAGCTAGTTCTGCGGGATCACTGCCAAACCTCAGATAGGATCATCTCCTTTTCTGGACCGAGGCCTGGAACAGAGGGTTTCTGATTTGCAAATGGCAGGTTTTCCTCACTCAAGCATTTCCTGGGGTATTTTTGAGGCTCTTTCCTCTCTTTCATAGTTTGCAGTGCTGACAGCATGAGACAGGAAAGAGGACCGTTTATTTTGAAGGTTTTCCATCATACATTTAGAAACCAGGTGTAGCTCTAGACCAAAATAACAATTTTTTATTCCATAAATTCATCATGTCTCTCCAGCATTGAGTAGGTCCAAGGTCCAAGGTTTCTATTCATCAACCTCTCACTAACTTCAGAAGGAATATTTCTAGAATTTTATCAGTTCGTAATTAGTGCAGCTTTTCTTACACTTAGGTAAAATTTACAAAGCTTTACCATAAAGATTTCTCCATTTCAAAAACAGATGTGTGCATAGCTGGAGATGCTTCCAGCATGTAGGGAGGTGGGCGGAGTGTCCCTTCTTGTCCTTCCTCCCTAGGCAGCATAAACAGGTCCAGAGTGGGCCTATTTGTGGTATAATCCAAAAGGTGGATTAGGAGTTGTTTTATCATGATACCAATGAAGGTTAAACTTTAAGGCAACACAGAAGAATTTTACATTTGTAATTTTTTTTCTTAATGAAGGCTCCCACATGTGTGTAAAATTCAGACTACCTGGGTCCCTTCTTAGCTCTGGTATTATCACCAGCACAATGCAGATTTGTATTTTTGAAATCATTCATTTTGGTTCTATCCAGTTCACATGGGTCTATAATTAATATTTGGGTTAGGACAAAAAATAAGGTATCCCATTAATAGAGGCCAGTCATTATAGCTAAATTCAGCGAGCAAAGACAATTTCTCATCATTAAATAACAATTAAAAAACATTAAATTGTGCTTAAACTATCTTGTTGGTTCTTTTTTTGTGGTATCTTCTGATATACTGAAACTGCTATCATATAGTTTACAAAGTAAAGATATGAGCAATATTCCGATGGCTGGAAAGTCATAGATTTCAAGTCATTCAACAAATACCTTGAAGCCTTTCTCTTGGCCTCTAATTCCTGTTCTGCACCCACCGTTATCTGGTTCCATTTTCTCTGATTTGTGATGGTAACGATGTAAGCATTATTCTTCCCCTTAGCTGTTACACCATCCCCTAGCTTCAGGATGAATCAGCCTCTCTGTCTCTGCCTCGATACCTTTTTAACAGTTTTAATGAATGCCCCTCTCTCTTTTCCAGCTCCTCACTTAGCACTCAGTACAATCCCCACTCTATTTCCAATAAAGAAATTGATCATATATGTTGGGTAAGCATCACCTGAGATTAAAAAGTAGTAGCAACTTCTCAGAATCAGCCACATTACTCAATAGCAAGCTGATGAGAAGCAAAGAAAACCACAGAGTTGAATCCTCAGAAGCATTAAGGATGTGGAGAGCCAGTTCTCAAAAATAAAAGTTGGTCCACAAACCAGAAGAAAAACTTCACAAAGTATTAAAAAAACAAAAAAAAAAAAAAAAACCAACACACACATTCACAAAAACACAGAGACAAAAATACAAAAAACAAACAACAACAAAAAAACACCACACAAGCCCTATGCTAGTGATACAAAAGGTGTTGGGTTTGAGTTTATCTTTCATCAAGAGAACACTTTGGTTGACCAAGAAGAAATCTTCTTAAGAATACTTAAGAGTAGCGATAGCTTTCGCAACAGTACTGATACTGGAGGGCAATTTTCAACCAGTCTAACATATTAATAGACCGAGAAAACTGCAGATTCCTTCAACAGAAAGAAGACACTCAAACTTGTCTTTTCCCTTTTATAGCTATGGACAGATACAATGGAAAAATAAAGAGGACTGTTGGGGTATTCAAGAATTATTTTGTGACCTTACCAACGAAACTTCAGATGTTCGGGAGGCTTATTATGCAAGGGTGAGGACGGCTGTGGCTGGGACCCACTCAGCCTGGACCATGACACGGCGGTTCATTCCCTGGTGGGAAAGTGAGTTTCTTTGCATTTGCTTTTCCTGCCCTTGAATAGCCTTTCTAGAGTGTGTCTAGTTGCGAGGCTCTGTGCTTTTCAGAGGTCCACACCATCATCTCACTTGATTAAATTACTCAGAGCAACGCCAGAAGATGTCTGTGCCTACCCTCACTTCACAGCCCAGGAAATGAAGGCACAGAGGTTTCAGTAGTTGCCCAGCCCATCTAACCAGATCAGGATTCAAATTCTTCTGCATCTGACTGCAGAGTTGACACTCTGTCCCTCTGCCAGACTGTTACCTCCTAGGTAAAAATAAAAATAAAAATAAAAATAAAAATAAAAATAAAAATAAAAATTATTTTAGACAGCAGAAAGGAGTTGTACCACCTAAGACCACTCCTAAATAATGGGGATTAAATTCCTGAAAATACTCATTTGAAGAATTTCAGTTGAGGAAATTAAGACTTTTGTTACCTCCTGAAGGGGAGCCCAAAAGTTCGTTCTTTTATCCATATCTCCATGATGTATATTCCTTTTCTAATTTTAATCATAATCCCAGAATAATATTATAATCAAAGATGTAAATTATGAAATAAATCATTACCAACAGACCGAATATAAAAGAGTAGACAAAAGGGAAAGGAAAAAGAGTGTTTAATGCATATGTACAAAGATTTGCATAACAAAACAAGAAAGAAAATGTGTTACATATTATAGTCCTCAAAATTGCAACTAGTCATGAAGCTGTAGTTAATATTTTTAATTTCCTCTCTTATTATCAATTCAATGCTCACTTTCTTTCCAGCCAGCAACTCAGCTCTTCAGTCATGAGGAGTTTGAGTTCTTTTGGTCTTTCTTGTTTAAACTGGACATAATCTTACATTAGTTTTTAATCACAGAATAGAGAGTTCTAGGAGGCACCTCAAGGGATATCAGGCATACTTCTCCCTGACCCCAATGTATCTATAACAATTCCATTTCCTCTTGATAATCAGAACCAATTGTCCCAGACAACACATGGACCTAATTTTTGCCTTGTTGGTTAAATGGCACCAAGAGCTTCAAACAGTTAGGAGGCAGCCTTAACTTTCAAGTATTAGAAACTATTGTTATTAGCCAGAATGATTAAGAATCAAGTGTATGGGAAACAACCATTTCATGAATCAGTTGCTATGAGAATTGCTTCTCCCACCACCACCACGTCTTGTATCTTAAACCAGTGAATTCTGTCTATGGGGAAAACAGCGCCATATATTGGTCACAAGATTAGAGCAAATATGAATTCCTACACAACTTCCCAAGGAGTTGTCTCCCAAACTGAGTTTTCAATTATCCACTTTACTTCCTATAAAGGCCCATTGCTGAGATAGAATATATGGTAAGGCTTCACTTCTTCCATATTAACTTAGTAGTTCTGTCATGAGCAATGGAGTGTGGGGTACCATGCTCATGCATAAGACAGTCCTTATTACATCCATGGTAGGGGATAACCAGGGGGACTGCTGATAACTACATTCTATTCCAATGCCACTTGCCCCCTCCCCATGGAAAGAGATAAAAATATCTACTATATAAAATGAACCATGTACTAGGGTTGGTTAATCTTACTAGGAATTTGGACACTCAGTAGTGTCAGTCTAGCCTTGGCAAGAAGAAGTCCATATTGTTGAGTCTATAGCCTCCATCCATTTCACACAACCATTTTATTCATAAGCCTACTAAGCAAGTATGGGACACTAGGGAAGTGGGCCTTCCCTGCCTCCATCTAGATTTTCAAAGCAGCTTTATTAAGATACAATTCACACCCCTCATAATGTGTACAATTCATTTTTTTTTGTATATTCACAAATATGTATAACCATCATCCACACTCAATTTTAGAACATTTTCACCACCTCAAAAAGAAATTCCATACACATTGGCTATCACCATTCTATCCCTTTACCTCTCCAGCTTTTTAGCCCTACACAACCACTAATCTACTTCTGTCTCTACAAAGTACCTTGTTCTTGGCATTTCATATGAATGGAATGATTTAATATGTGGTCTTTGGTGACTGGCCACTTTCAGTAAGTATAATGTTTTCAAGGTTCCTCTTATTGCATCATATTTTAGTACTTCCTGTCTTTTGTGACAGAATTACATTTTAGAATATGGATAAACTGCGTCTTGTTTATCCATTTCTTAACTGATGAACATTTGAGTTGTTTTCACCTTTTGGCCATTATGAATAGTGCTCCTATAGGAATTTGTATAGAAGTTTTCGTATAGACATATGGTTTTATTTCTTGGTGGCACATACCATAGGAATAGAATTGCTGGGTCACATAGTAACTCTATGTTTAATCATTTGAGGAACTGCCAGACTGTTTTCCAAAGCAGCTGTACCATTTTACATTCTCATCAGCAGGGTATGAGGTCCTCATTTATCCACATTCTCAGAAACACTTGCCTGACTTTTTTATTACAAAACATGAGGTGAATGTGGAGAAATCAAAGCTCAAAAGTTCAAAATTTCATGGGATATTTTGAAAATGCATAGCACAAGTAAATGTGACATGTGTTTTATCCAAAATTCATAGAGGTCCAACGAGCCAGTGAATGTTTCTTAGTAATAGGGGGAGCAAAGGAAATGTCTCTAACAAACTGCAGAGGAAATTTAATTACAACATTTAATTATAGTGCCTAGTACTTTAACCAACCAAATGTAATCAGTATCATGTGATCAATTTAGTGAACCAACAGGATATCCTGTGACAGGATCAATGACTGTAGATTATTTGTGACAGAGAGCCAGGATGACAATGAAAGCCAAGTGAGCCCAGCTGGTATGACTTATTGGTCAGGGCACATGCCCAGGTTGTGGGCTTGATCCCCAGTAGGGAGCATGCTGGACATAGCCTATCAATGATTCTTTTATATCATTAATGTTTCTATCTCTCTCTTCCTCTCCTTTCTTCTCTGAAATCAATAAAAAGAAAATATTTTAGTAAAATGAAAGTAAGCCAAGTGAAAGGAAATTTTTCTGATACTTTCTAATTATTGGACAAAGGAAGGAACTATATGTTAAAGGCTGGGTTGATTGGCTCCAGAACAGTTACCATACTATAATGAATCATACAATGGTCACCACCTGAGTGCATTTACAATTATCTCTTTTATTATTTAACTAATGGCCTGGTGCATGAAATTTGTGCGCATTAAAAGGGAATTAATTAGAGGAACTATTTTAATGTTGCTATTTGCCCTTTCTCTATAATAGAAGTGTCAGAGATGAAAGAAAATTAGTAAAATGTATATGAAAATCTTCCTCCTGTCAGAGTCTGGGGCATGCCACAGGACCCAGAGTCAAGTTCCTGCCCACCAATGTGTGCCTAGAAATCACACAAGACCTAGACCCAGCCAGTCCCACCCCCATCAAGCCCTGCATGATTTGCTGCCTCCTGCATGCCCCTTACTGGGGATCAATCCCACAACCTGGGCATGAGCCCTTAACTAGGCATGTGAGCCTGGGATCCTTCAATACGCAAACCAAAGCTCTATCCACTGAGCCAAACCAGCTAGAACCAAGGTGTATTTTTGATGCATGAATCTCTGCTGTTTCCCCTGGGATACAACAGTACTTTTGATTTTTGATTTTGTTCAAAGGAATCCCATTGGCTTCCATTTGACCTTTCATTCCATAATAACTTTCATGCCACAGCTCAGAAAACCAAAATGGGCATTGATCCTGTCAGTTGGCATGTATATCTTATTGAATCTGCTTTTATTACCTGACAGCTACAAGAACACACGATGCATTCTGAGTCCCCAAGGATTACTATCAACTCAGGATCAGGGTCCATCATTGGCCAAATGGTCTGTACTTATCTTTCTCCAGTTTTCAGTTACCCTAGGGAAGGATAAAAGAAGATGTATCTTAAAACTTGCAGCATTATTACCTCACTTGCCTAATATCTAACTGGTGCTATGTCCCATTAGAGCCAAACTAATTGGATCATGGCCAAAATGCAAATGTTTAGAAAAAGGTATAGTTTTCCAATTCAACTAGTAGGAGTGGAATGAGAATTAAGCAAACCAATCCATGGTATCCAGCACATCTTTTCTTGGAATAACATGAAATTCAAGCCCAATCCACTGCACCAATAATTCCCTATAAAAGAACAGACTCAGGAAAGCCTTGACATCAAAGAAGAGAAACAATGAAAGTTGTATGTTTCCATTTTGATTCAGTTAGGAATCAAGAATTTCCCAAGTTCAAAAAGATCTGAGATTCAAGTATTTTCAGCTTTCATGTTTCAGAAAACATCAACTTGAGGTTGTACCAGGTTACAGAGCCTAATACTTAAACCAGAGTTCAAAAGTACTAGTGATGAAGGAAATAACTAATAAATAGGACTATACTAAAATTACAATGTATAATTTTAACACTGCCCCCACCAGATTGAAGGGTTGTACTCAGGCATGTGGGGTGCATGCTTTCATGCTGTTTCCTCAAAATTCTCACTCTGCCATCTGCATGATGCAACTGGAAATGTGATTCATCCGGCCACATGACTTTTTTCCAATGCTCAACTGTCCAATACTTGTGTTCCTGTGCAAATTGGAGACGTTTTATCTTGGTAACTGCAGACAGCAAAGGTGTTCAAACAGGTCTTTGGCTTCCATATCCCATACAATGCAGTATACGGCTAATTTGCATACAAATGTCAGGTGGTCATAATAATCTGGCCACTCAGTATATATATATACTGAGTGGCCAGATTATATAAAATTATGGGCTGAAATAGATAGATAGAAAGATAGATAGATAGATAGATAGATAGATAGATAGATATAGATATATATTGATATATATTTCAGCCCATAATTTATATGGGCTGAAATATATATCAGCCCAGGCACACAAAAAAGTTTATATGATATGATTCTGAAAATTAATGTATATGTAAATAGAAGTCAGGACAATAGTGGCTATCTTCTGAGGTTAAATACTTGGAGGGAACATAGAGGCAGTTTTTGAGTGCTAGTAATGCCCTATTTCTTGATCTGAGTGATAGCTGACAATTTGTAGATCCATATCCTCATGATTTATTTTTTGTCTTTATCTATTTTATAGGTCAATAAAAAGTTAATTTAAAATTACAAAATTCAAACCAAATCAACATAAAGAATGTATCAACTTTTAAACTTGAACTCACAATAAAAGCACAAAGATGGACAAAAGCAAATTTGGAACCAACAAACACTGACCCATTCAGCACTTCAAATATTGTAATATTAAAAGCAGCTAAAATAAGTTAAATGATATAACAAAGGGAATAAAAACATAATCAACAAACAAAACTTTAGGCTTCATTTTTCTAAAAAATCACTGCATATGGAAATGATTGATAGATATACTCTTATAGCTGAAACAGTCTACTAGTCTTTGAAAAAAAAATACCTTCAAAGCTTTTTCTGATATTTATATTTTAGGTATCAGCAATATCTCTTCATAATGATTTTTGGCAGGTCTCTAAGTTTAATAATTATTTATTATGCATAATGTAACCATGTGGAATATTACATTTTTTAATGATTTATCAAAATCTCCTATTCTTTCTCCAGCAAAAATAGGTCCTCCAAGCATGAATATAACCCAAGTCAATGGATCCTTGTTGGTGATTCTCCATCCTCCAAAGATACCATATAGAAACCAAAAAGGAAAAAATGTATCAATGGAAAATTACTATGAGATAGTATACCGAGTCTTTATAATTAATAATTCACTAGATAAGGTAAGTTCAAATGAATAGATAATTCTGGTATTTTTTTCTTTTGTTCATTTGACTCACATTTTAGTCAAAAAATATGTCTTCTCTCTTGCTATTCTATTCCTTTTCATTTTTCCCGAGATTTTTTTTTTTTTAGTTCCTTCTCACCTTCACCCTTATTGATGAGGAATTAGTGCGTGGCATTAAATTAAGAATCCATGTATATTCATGTGTGTTTGCATCTTTTCAGTCACTCAGCTTGTCTTCAGTTGATCTTCCCTGCACATCTAAAGATTGGTATTAACAATATTTACTTCCATTTGACAGCCACAATATTCATTTTTATGGACTTTCCACATCTTGTTTTTAAGTGGCTTTTAAGCCAGAGCATTATATATTTGTGTCATTTTACTATGATATTTTAATTCATTGTCAGTGCCTTTATTTGGATATGGTGGTTAATTGAATTCCCCCCCCCCTTTTTTTGGAGGGAGGGGTGGCCATCTAAGACAGGGTTCTGTAAGTTCTAAGGACAGAACCCATCCAAACTGGTTCAAGTAGAAAGTAGGTTAGTGGAGGGGAGGAGTTTAATTGGGAAATAACAAGCAATCTTAGGGACAGCCAGAAGCAAGTGTAAAGTGCTGCTCAGCTTTGTAATGGCTAGGAAGGAGAAACGTAGAAGCAAGTCTTCAAGAACACTACTCTGCCTCTCTGTGGTCACATGTTGCATGTCTACAGCTGTCTCCAAACCTACTCAATTCTCATTGCACACTTCAAATTCCTGACAAAGAGACTGACCACTGGGCCAGTCAATCAGCAGCCCTCATGTAGTACCTACATAGTCACTTGACCTGCCTCTGTATTAGGCTGTGTTCCAGGACTCTGGAGCAGGAGGCTGTGACCGGGAAGAAACCCCACAGCCCACCTACTACTGTGACCAGGAACAACTTATCAATTGTATCAAAAATAGAGCAAACCAGTGACTTACTGAAAACCATTTAACATCTCTTCTTTTCCCTTGTATATAGGAACAAAAGGTGTATGAAGGAACTCACAGGGTGGTTGAAATTGAAGCAGTAACGCCTCATACTGGTTACTGTGTAGTGGCTGAATTATATCAGCCCATGCTAGACAGAAGAAGTCAGAGAAGTGAAGAGGGATGTGTGAAATGACCTTGAAGTGGTATGGTGTGCTCTGCAACATGGAAATCAAAAGCTCTCTGGGAATGGGATGGCTCATGCTTGAAGTATCTCACTGAAAATTGTTTTTATTCTTCTTAAAGCAATGTCACACTTTTGGGACTTCTTTGTTTTTCCATTATTTCTTCCCTTATATTTCATTTGTAAACTGAATTTAAGCAGCATATTCACTTCCAACATATTAGAATTTAAAGAAGGGCTCTCTGAAATTAGAGCTTTTCTTCTGAATGTAAAATCCCTAACAACAACCTCCACTGTTCTGAAAAATATTGGGTCGGCAGCTAAGTAATTGCGGGTTTCACACATATATGGCTTCAGTTGAATTTTTAGGTTTGCAGACGTAGTACAAATGTAAAACACATTTTGTTATTTGATAGTTGGCTATTCAGCTGTTAATCAGTAAAAAAAGTTTTTTGATCTGTTTTGTAGTTTTTGTTTGGCGTTGGTTGAAAAATGGAAAATCAAAAGGAACATTTTTGTCATATTTTGCTTTTTTATTTCCACAAAGGGAAAAACGTATCCCAAGCTCATAAAAAGTTATGTGCTATTTATGGTGACGAAGCCTTAAAAGAACGGCAGTGTCAAAATTGGTTTGCCAAATTTCGTTCTGGTGATTTTTCACTCAAAGATGAAAAACGCTCTGGTCGTCCAGTTGAAGTTGATGACGCCCTAATCAAAGCAATAATCAATTCGGACTGTCACAGTACAACACGTGAGATTGCAGAGAAGCTTCATGTATCACATACATGCATTGAAAATCACTTAAAACAACTTGGCTATGTTCAAAAACTCGATACATGGGTTCCTCACGAACTGAAAGAATCACAGTTAACGCAACGCATTAGCAGCTGCGATTTGCTAAAGAAACATAATGAAAATGATCCATTTTTAAAACGACTGATAACTGGCGATGAAAAATGGGTTGTTTACAACAATATCAAGCGGAAAAGATCGTGGAGCAGGCCAGGTGAACCAACTCAAACAACATCAAAAGCTGATATTCATCAAAAGAAGGTTTTGTTATCAGTTTGGTGGGATTACAAAGGAATTGTCTACTTTGAACTCTTACCACCCAACCAAACGATCAATTCTGATGTCTACATTGAACAACTAACGAAATTAAACAATGCAGTTAAAGAAAAGTGGCCCGAATTGACAAATCGAAAAGGTGTTGTATTCCATCATGACAATGCAAGGCCACACACATCTTTGGTCATTCGGCAAAAATTAATGGAGCTTGGTTGGGATGTTTTGCCACATCCACCATATAGTCCTGACCTTGCACCATCTGATTACTTTTTGTTTCGATCTTTACAAAACTCCTTGAATGGTAAAAATTTCAATAATGATGATGATGTCAAATCGTACCTGATTCAGTTTTTTGCTAATAAAAACCAGAAGTTTTTTGAACGTGGGATTATGATGCTGCCTGAAAGATGGCAAAAGGTCATTGATCAAAATGGGCAATACATTACAGAATAAAGTTATTTAGTTCCATAAAAAAATTGTCTTTGATTTTCTTTTTAAAATCCGCAATTACTTAGCTGCCGACCCAATATAAGAACCAAGGAATAGTAGGCATTTAAAAAACTGTTCTTAAATTAATTTTTTGACAAATAGCGTTATAGACAAGCAATCCTGAAGCAATCTCTTTCACTTTCTATTGAAACAATTTGAGATAAATGTGCCAACTTTTATATGATTGAACATTTCATATGAATGAATATTTTCCCATATATTTCTATTTTATATAAATACTAGAGGCCTTGGGGGCAGGGGGTCCCCTCAGCCTGGCCTGTACCCTTTTGTAGTCTGGGAGGCCTTGGGGGATGTCCAGCAGTTGAACATTCTTAGAGGCTCCCACCACTGCTGCTGTGCTCACCAGCCACCAGCCTGGCCTCTGGCTGAGCGGCAGTGCCCCTGTGGGAGCACTCTGACCACCAGGGGACAGCTCTGCATTGAGCATCCGTGCCCCCCTCTCCTCCCCACTGGTGATCAGTATGAGTCATAGCAACTGGTCCCTCAGCCATTCAGTCAATTTGCATATTACCCTTTTATTATATAGGATATTTTTGCAAACATAGATTATTCTATATAAATTATTTCCACTTAATGAACCATTTTTTAAATCTATGTAAATAAGTGTAGTACTTACAAAGAACCGCAAGATCTCTGGAGGAATATCTATTATAGATTAAGATTATCCACAATACCATCTAAATACTGAAGGAAGTCTACTCAATACAATTTTTTCTCATTTAGCACATACTTATATTAAGGTCTTCTTTTCTGTTATTACTGTGTTTCTTAATGTTGCTTTAGAAGAATTCAACCTTATTCTCAAAATCATGTATAATATATTTTAGCAACAAAATAAAAAAGAAATCTTAACTCCAATTGATACCACACTCACCACTCTACCTTCCCGATGAAGGGTCTCTTGCCAGTTGCACATTTGGAAATTCTATGTACAAGGACCTTGTGAATAACAGTTTGACTGGAAACATGGGATGGCGGAGGACCAGGTGGAGATGTTGGCTTGAAGCTGAGAGCACTCAGTGGGTGATAGGTTTACCTGGGAGAGGGTCTGGTGTTGGCAGAGACCAAAGGCCAGCTAAAGCTCCCAACAGTCCCTAGCAGCTCACTGTCCCCCAGTAAAGGTATGCAGCCTACGACTCAGTGTAATCAACAGGAAGCTGCCTTTTTCATTTTGGGCTTTATCTTATATATCTGTTTAAGGTTGTCTTTCTTGTGAGAAGGTATATTTTGGAGAACATTTGCACTATTCCTCATGAAAATTGGTCCAAAGTGTGACAAAAATACATTCAGTGCTTCTGGTCACATACAGTTATACACAATAGTAAATGGATTAAAAATTATTCAAAAATGTATGGAGGGAGAGAACAAGAGACACAACAAGAGCTAGAGAATTGGTTCGATTGCTTTGCCCTATGGTCAGAAAAATTCTTTTACCCTACGTTTTTGAATTATGCTTTTTCCTCCTTATCTTTTTTGCCCTCTGTGAGGAGTAAGGATTGCATGTGGCCAAGAGCATTTAAGTTTGTGAAATTCAGCAGTTCTGAAGCAACATTTAAAAATAGTTATGGTTGCCTCATGAAAGTTAATAGATAGCACCAAGTTTTGAGATTTATTTGTTTTGCTTCCATGCTTAGGAAAGTCACTTAGGCACACTTAGGCAAGAGGGAAATACTTTGTTTAAAAAAAAAAAAAAAAAAAGAATTGTTAGATTCTTCTTTGCTTTAAGCATATGCGATCATCCTATTTCAATAAATCTTTTAATTTTTCGCTTTGCAATTTGACATATTTGTTATTTGGTTTGTTTAAAAGAAGGGTAAAATTGGCAAGTCTCCCAAATTAAATTAGACTTCTTAGACACACCATAGTCCCAGCCAGAAGGAGCAGAACCCCAAGCTTTCAGTGATCTTGTTCTATGATCGAATTGCAATTACACTGTTATAGTTTCTCAGGCCAAAAGCTTTGGGGCCATCTCCACCTCCATCTTTTTCCTCACATCATATATTCAATCCATCAACAAATTCTACTGGATCGAGTTTCAAAATATGAGACATTTCTCACAGCTACCTTATTCCCAGCCAACATCATTTCTCATCTGGAAAATGGTTATGGCAACCTTACAGGTCTCCCGGCCCTGCCCTTGCCTCCTTCTAATCTAGTCTCAGCAGGGTAGCCAAGGCAATCCCTTTGAACACAAATCAGATCGACACTCCTGTGCTCCGAGCTTTCCATCTCATAAGGATAGAAATCCAAATCTTTATTGTGGTCTCCAAGGCACTGCATAATCTCATCCCTTTGACCTAATCTCTCAGCCCTCATTCCCTAACCCTGGTCTGCTCACGTTACTCCAGCACACCGGCCCCTATGCTTGGCTCTCAAATATAAATTCTCTGGCCTCTGGGCCTTTGTACTGGCTGCTTTCCAGAAAGTTGTGCCCCTAGATCTCCTAGGCTCATTTTAAATTTGATTTAAAATTGCAAACTAGCAGAAACCGGTTTGGTTCAATGGATAGAATGTCGGTCTAGGGGCTGAAGAGTCCCAGGTTCGATTCTGGTCAAGGGCATGTACATTGATTGCGTGCACATCCCTGGTAGGGGCTGTGCAGGAGGCAGCTGGTGGATGATTCTCTCTCAATGATGTTTCTAGCTATCTATTCCTCTCCCTTCCTCTCTGTGAAAAATCAATAAAATATATTTTTAAAAAAACAAAACTGCAAACTATCCCCTGCAACTCTCTCTATTCCTCATTTTTCTCCATAGCACTTAACCACCTGACACATTAGTTTACTTGCTTATCTTGTTTATCATTTATCTTCCCTCTTCCGCTAGAATGTAAAGGGCAGATCTGTCCTTTCTTCCTCCCTCCTCCCCGCCCCCCCCCCACAGTTCTTCCCTCATTATCTAGAACAGTACCAGTGCATGGCAGACACTCAACATTTATTGTATAAATTGGTGAATCAAGAGGACGGGGGAGGGATGAGTGAGGAGGACTGGATGGGATGTTTTCCCTATTATTTTGCACAACCTGCTGCGCTATCTTCCTCCGCAGGTGAGTATGGAGATGCAGAGATGGAGTTAAGTGGATATCAGGTCTCGGACAATTCTGACACCATAGCAGAGAGCTACTCCAGACTAACTGCTTCTTCCTCCAACTGAGTCTCACTTTCTAGGCATCATTTGTTTTCCTTGCTGCTGGTCAAGTCCAGAAGTCCTGTCTCAGATTTTCTTTAAAAGTGGGGAGGGACTGAAATTGGGAATGTGAAAAGGATATACCCACATGGATGAGAAGGGATGTTAGAGTGTTCTCAAGACAGGGTTGAGGTAGATAAAAGAAGCCATGAGAAACTAGGATGCCTTTTCCGCAGGTGAACCCCCTTCATTTAGGCTTGGATGAGGGTCTGACAGAGTGGGCTACAGAAAGAAACAAACTTCCATTGGGCTTCTGGATTTGCCAAGCATTTACACATTGAGGGTGCCTCTATGATAGTGATGAGAAAAGAGGAAAAATTCCAATGGACACACAAGGTTTAAAGCTTCTTCAGTGGCAAATGATAAGGAAATTTGGGA